AAGTAAAACTAGAAACCAGGAGGGAGCAGAGGTCTTGCCGAGCTAGGTTCTTGTACCTGCTGGTCTGTTGGAGCCAGGGACGCTAAGCCACAGTGTCTAAGGCAGAGGTCGGGACAGGTGAGGAGCTGTGCCAAGCTGAGTCAGAGCATCCATTGGCAGGCAAGTGATCTATGGCTGGGAACAGACCCAGTTGGGGAGCAAAGGGGACAACCCTAGCTGGGCTGAGGTTCCCACCAAGAGGCACATGGCCTGGAAGGGGAGCTGCGTTCTGATCTGGAAACAGTTGTAGTCTCCCTTGGCACAAGTGTGGACTGGGATTGGATGCACCGAACCGGGCCGGACCCCGACTCCCCCTGGTGTTCTGGAGGACCAGGGCAGATGTGGGATGGACTAGGCAGGGTCTCAAACCCCTACTGAGCCATGTGTGAGCCATATGTGGGTATAGACAAACCATGGCTGGGCTGGAACATCCAACAGCAAGAACCAGATTGGGTGGAAGGCCAGTCAGGAAAAGCCACAGTTCCTGTTATTACAGGAGGTGGACTGAGTAAGGTTGGCTCATGGACCCACTGGTAAGCGTGAAACCTGGCATTGGGAGAGGTTCTGATGGAAGAGCCTGGGCAACTCCTCTGGCAGGACACAGACCCGGCAGGTAAACGCAAGAAACATGATAGGAAACAGCCCAGAGTAGGCCATGGAAAGCTACCCACTGGCATACAATTGGCTGACGTGGGGGCAAGACCAGGCTGAATCTGTCCACATCATCCACTGGCAAATCCAGGCACCAGTGTGGGTCGACCTAGGGTTGGTCGCAACAAAGACTAGTGCACATTATGGAATGCCGAGGTGAGGTGGCCTGTACCGGAAGGGACCGCAGCGCCCTACCAGCCTGAGAACAAGAAAGGAAGTGGGCAGAGCCGGCAGGGGAATAAGGGAGGGTTCCTTTGCAAGACAGCTACTTCCGCAGGAGAGCATGGGCTGGGATGGGGGCAAACCAGACTAGGCAGAGCTACCACACCTGTGGGCTTCGTGCGGACCAGATCAGGGAAAAGCCGGGCTGGGTGGATTATTCCTACTGGTGCAAACAAAATTAAAGTGGGCGAGGGTTGTTTGGGCTTAGACGCAGCATCAACTGGAATCTGGGAGTGGGAGAGGCCTGGGAGGGAAATAGTGGGCTCATCCCTCTTGGGTTACCACTTCCACAGGACATAAAACTAAGATAACTAAGATAGCGGCTGGGGTGGAATGGGGTGTGGGACAGACTGGATTACTGCTACACTTACTGGCAAACCAGGGTAGGGGGTGGGCCTGGTGGGGGTTATTGTGGGTCGCTCCAACCTAGGCTGCAGCTCCCGCTGGTTTATGTGAGGGCCAAGTATGTGCTGGGCAGAACTAGGCTGGACTGCAACACCCATTGGTTCCAGTGGAAGTCGGGAGTGAAAACAGAACCAACCCAGCAACTGCAACCACCAGCTGATTGGAGCGATGGACGGTGCCGGGCCCTGTACTTGTTAGCACATACAAGAAGTTTCTTTGGAGATCTTCCTAATCTAAATGCTGGACTCAAAACCCTAACGAAGAAAAGAGAGAAGACAGAACGGGTCAACCAACCATCTCCGCTATGATGGACTATGTCAATCAGTGGATTTTTCAAAGCCCTCATAGTGCTTGGAGTGGCAAGATTGACAACGATTCATAACTGTTGCAATATCAAAACCACTTGAGCAAGAACCTCAGCGCATGCCCTACATCCGGGATCTGGGGAGGGTGGGAAAATGGGTGGGCCTTCTCCCTTAAATAACCCCCTTTAAACATGAAGGTAACAATATGGAAAACATACTAGTATTATCCACTTTCATGTAGCCCTTGAACCTTCTTACCCTAATTAACTATGTAAAGAATGTCAAAATAAAATTTTATAAAAATTAAAAAAAAAAAAAAAGAGAAGTTAAAAAAAAAATTATCATGACCCAGATATTAATATGAGGGTGGTGTATAAATGTATCAGCAACATAAAATTCTAATAGAAATCAGTTAGAATTCAAACGTGCTTATTCTTTTAATGTGCTGGTTCTGGTCAAATCCAGAAAATACTGCAACTTAATTATATGGACAGACAAAAAGCTGCTATTTGATGCGCAGGGCAAAATGCCTTTTAAATATGTATTATTTTATCATATGCATAGTTTAAAAAATTGAATACTTGAACAGTAAAGGTTGATTTAGTAAGATTTTTCTTTAAAATGTATTATATTAACAGAGCTAAAAAATGAAGTTGCAGTTCAGGCACTCAACAAAATCCAACTATTCATTATTTAAAATACAGCAAACCACAGCAAAGGAAATAATCAACAAAATGAAAAGGCAACCTATGGAACAAGGCAGAATATCGGCAAACAATGATTGTGGTAAGAGGCAAACACCCAAAATATATAACAAACTCAACTCAATAAACAAAAAAGAGACAAATAACCTGGACAAAGTGGGGCCAGCATCCGTGATGAGCTCAGGTTTATGTCCTGGCTGCTCCACATCCCATCCAGCTCCCTACTAATGGCCTAGGAAAAGCAACAGAGGACGGCCCAAATGCCTGGGCCCCTGCACCCTCATAGGGGACCCAGAAGAAGCACCTGGCTCCTGGCTTCATGTGGGGAGCAGGTGAGGCCATGCATGGGCTGCAGTGGTCCCCATATATAAAGGAGGGAATTTGACTGTTCCTTATAAACATATTAACAGTTCCCTTCTTGGACACCCATTATGCAAAAACACTAACACGGGCCCGTATAAAGGCTTATATGTTGAACAGTGCTAGGTGTAAGAGCAAGAGCACCGAAGCTGGACATGCCCCAAACGTCCACCTGGAAGGCAATAGCTTCCAGCTGCGAAAAGGAGCCAACTACTGGTAACACACAGCAGACTTAGACAAAACGCAAAAGCACAATGCTAGTGGAAGATCAGATACCACAGGCAGTGAGGCAGGCGACACCTCTCTGTGATGTTCTAGAAAAGGCCCAACTGTCCCAAGGTGATGCACACACGACTTGGCTGGATCTCGTCACTCCATCACGTGATACATGCTTCAAGACACTGTACTGCACAGAGCGAAGCAAAACCACGTCGTCTTATCTTGTCACTTCAAGCAAAATCCCTCTGAGAAATTCATTTTTACACAAGAACAGGTAGGACTACAGTGGCAGGAGGCAGCCCCACGGGAGGTCGCTGCAGACGGGCACAGGGAGGGGTCTGGGTGAGCCGCAATGCTCTGCTTGTCATGAGGAACGGGTGGGTGGGCATGACTGCACGTATCTGTGAGGGCAACAAACTGAACACTCACATCAGTGAGCCTTATCTGACGTCCATCGTGCCTTTTCAGAAAGGTTTCAGGGGCAGGCGTTTGACATCCCACTCTGACTGACTCCTGGTCCCTAACTCCAATTTCCTGCCAACTGAGATCCTTGCAGGGAGTGGTGAAGGCTCAGGTGACTGGGTGCTGGCCATGCACGTGGGCAGACCTGGCCTGAGTGCCTTGCTCCCCACTGCAGCCCTCCCCTGACCATCACAGGCACTGGGAGGGTGAACCAGTCGGTGGGAGTTCTACTCCTGTCACTCTGATTCTCTTTGCTTTCCAAAGTAAAAATTTAAAAGAATATCTAAAGATTAAGACAATATTAATACCAAAACTACATATGTATACCCAAGTATTTAAAAGAAAATGGAATTTAAAGATAAACCGGGGCAGGGTGGGGAAGCAATGCTATGGCACAGTGGGTAAAGCACCAGCATCTCATATGGGCACTGGTTCGAGTCCTGGCTGCTCCACTTCCGATCCAGCTCCCTGTTCGTGTGCCTGGGGAAGCAGCAGAGGATGGTCCAAATTCTTGGACCCTGTGTGGGAGATCCAGAAGAAGCTCCCAGCTTCCATCTGGCTCAGCCCCAGCTGTTGTAACCATTTAGGGAGTGAACCAGTGGGTAGAAAATATCTTTCCTTCTCTCTAATTCTTCCTTTCAAATAAATAAATAAATACTGGGAAAAAAAAAAAGATCAATTTATTTTTATCCCAAAACCTCTTGAACACTAAAGATAGGAGAGTTCTTCAAAAAGTCCAACAAAAAAATGAATATGGAAAAACTCTGCGTGGATTCCGAACGCTCATTCCACCATGAACTTTCTCAAGTGTAGAGTTAGAGGCAGCTTGGATTTCTCAGGAGGGAGCACACCCTGGAACTAAAGAAACTCAGTTTCTTTCTAGCACTGTGTCACTGTGTTTACCCCAAGTGCAGGACCGGGACACACACTGAGGGAGCCGAGCCAGTATCGCCGGTCAACAGGGGCACAGGACGCGACGGGGAGCCCAGGCTGCAGTTCCTGGCTTCCGCTTTTGGCTTGGCTGAACATGGGCGCAGCCAACTGGGGACCAGATCAGTGGATGAAAGCCAGTCATTCATTCTCTCTCATGCAATCTCTCTCGCACGTGTCTTTCAAATACATCAATCTTTTCTTAAAGGAATTCTCCACCAGGGGTTAAACACCCACATACTCTAGCCCTGGCTGCTCTGCTTTCTACCTGGCTTCCTGCTGACGTGCCTGGCAAAATGGCAGGTGAAGATTCACGTGTGTGGGTTCCTGCCACTCATGTGGGGGATCGGGGTGTCGTAGCCATTTGAAAAGTGAACCAGCAAATGGAAGATATCTCACTCTCTGATACTCGACTTTTTACACAAATAGATAAATTCTTCTACAAAAAAAGAAGAAAAGAATCTTTGATCACAATGGTTCACTGTGATCCCTAGATCTACTTGGACTCAGCAAAATCCTCTAGGGCGGCGTCATCCAGGGCACCTGTGTGCCCTCCCGCCACCACACCAGCACATCTGACTAACTCCAAGCCTGTCCAACCTGACGGCTTCTGCTGAGGCCAGGGAGGCATGAGACCACTAGAGTAACCGGAAGCCAAGAAGGCAGGAAACAGACTTTCCTAGTAACTTTGCGGCCAACTCACCAGCAGTGTCTGCCCTTGGGAGATGAAGAAGTGACCCGATATTACTATGGTGAGAACAATGGAACCGGATTCTTCACTGGACTCAAAAACCTAGGGAGAGAGAGATGTAAATATATTTCTATAACACTCAGAAAGGCATAACGTAGCCATTCAACCTGTCAGCATTTTCTTTGTGTTTCAAGTTTCTCCAGCTACCTAGCAACGCATATATTCACATATACATGAATATTATAATAGCCAGGCTTTTAAAAATCAAGACCAATTATTTTGAAACAAAAACAATACCATGGCTTTGTGATGACCTAGAGCCTGTTACACCTTCATGATAAGATGCCCAGGCCGGACACTTGCATTGCAACCCTGAAGTCATGATGTTTTCAAGATTTCCCTAATGGGTAGAAAATTAGGCAGACAGCAAATTCCTGGGCCCTCCACCCCTTCCAAGACAACACCATCCAACCCCCCACACCTGCCCCACATGCATCCAGTCCCAGAAAGAGACGACTCCAAGACTCCCCAGATAGACCTGCAGTCCCTCTAAGCACGCATCTTCCCTTTGCTCACATACTTTAGTCCTCTGCTAACATAAAAAAAAAAAAGAGCAGCAAACTAAGTTCAGAGTTGTGAGTCCTGAGTCCTATTCCGCCAGTTTGCTAAATCACATATTCTCTCTTATTTTTATTTCCTTTCTGTGAAACAAAGATGGGGCCTCCCAGGGCTGCTGAGGAACTTCAGGGTCCCCATGTCTTCAGCCACATAGTTGCAATCTATAACCCTCAGAGCCAGGGCATTCCCTTGTCAATGTCACTCTTTTTTTTTTTTTTTTAAGATTTGTTTATTTTATTGGAAAGGCAAATGTACAGAGAGGAGGAGAGACAGAGAAGAAGATCTTCTGGCCAATGATTCACTCCCCAAGTGGCAGCAACAACTGGTGCTGTGCCAATCCGAAGCCAGGAGCCAGGAACTTCTTTCTGGGTCTCCCATGTGGGTGCAGGGTCCCAAGGTTTTGCGCCATCCTCAACTGCTTTCCCAGGCCACAAGCATGGAGCTGGATGGGAAGCAGGGCCTCCGGATTAGAACCGGCGACCACATGACATCCTGGCATGTTCAAAGCAAGGACCTTAACTATTACGCTATTGTGCCGGGACTGTCAATGTCACTCTTGAAACATGGGGCCACAGGGCAGGCAATGTAGTGCTGTGCATTAATCTACTCCAGCGACACTAGTATCCCTTATTGGAGTATCAGTTTGAGTTCTCGCTGCCCTACTTCCAATCCAGTACTCTGATCATGTACCTGGGGGAGCTTGGACCCCTGACAATCACGTGGGAGACCAGATGGAGTTTCCGTCATGGCTTCTGGCCTCAGCCTGGCCTAGGCCTGACCTTTGCAGCTGCTGGAACCAGCAGACAGACTCTCTCTTTCCTGTCCCCCACCCCCACACTTCTTTCATCCCACCTTCCAAATCAACATGGGGCCACGAACGCCCCAAGTCCTCTTGCTAGGGTCTAATCCTTCCCAGGTCTCCCTGACCTCTTGGAGTACAGGCGTAAGTGCAGCATGGGAAGAACTCCAACTGAAACAGCAAAACTTGCTGCAGTGTTGCCTCCTATGCCGTCAAATCCCATGATCCCATGCTTTTCTTGAGCCTAGATGAAAAACTCGGCTTTATTCCCATTACACGCGGTTGCCTCATTTGTTTGGTCTGTCATTCCAATTTGCTGAGTTACGGTGTGGAATTGGGACGATTCAATCCAGGCCCCAGGGAGGCCGTGATGCATAGGTACAAAGCACTTAGGGAACTTCAATCGAGAGGTGATTTTCATCTCTTTCATGAACACTGGGAGGTTAGCATCCTGTTAAATAAATTACAGACTTGCCTTGATTCGCCAAGTTCCCAGGGTGGAGGACATCTGGCCCCTCGATCATAGAAAGCTTAGGAATTCACTCAGCCTAGTCCCACCACAGCAACCGCAGAGATGGGATTCAAAATTCAATAAATCTATAGTGGGTTATTGTTTAAAAAGATTTATTTTATTTTTATTGGAAGTCAGATATACAGAGAGGAGGAGAGAGAAAGAGCAAGACCATCCATCCATTGATTCACTCCCCAAGTGGCTGCAAAGGCTGGAGTTGAGCCAATCTGAAGCCAGGAGCCAGGAGCTTCTTCCAGGTCTCCCACACGGGTGCAGGGTCCCAAGGCTTTGGGCTGTCCTTGACTGCTTTCCCAGGCCACAAGCAGGGAGCTGGAGGGGAAGTGGAGCTGCCGGGATTAGAACCGGTGCCCATATGGAATCCCAGTGCTTGCAAGGTGAGGACTTTAGCCACTAGGTTACCGCGCTGGGCCCAGTAGTGGTTTGTTTTTAAGGTGACAATTTTGCATGGTTCATGTTATAAACATTCTTGGCAGATAAAACGTTTTCCACCCCTGATCTAAATGAACACACCTTCAACTCAAGTATCTCTAAGATTTAACTATTCGAAAGACAGAGTGGCAGAGGGAGAGAGAGAGCAGACGAGAGAGAGGAGGCAGGGAAGAGGAGAGAACAAGAGCAGGACGGGAGGAGAGAGGGAGACGATGATATTTCATCTGCTGGTTCACCCCGACCCCTACTCCCACGACAGCCTCAACAGCCAAGTCCTGGCCAGGCTCAAGGCAGGAGCCAGGAGGTCTCACCTGACCTCACACCGGTGGCAGGTGCCCACACCCTTGGGCCGTCTTCCTCTGCCTTGACAAGCACATCAGCAGGGAGCTGCATTGGAAGTGCATGAGAACTAGAACCAGGAGGCTGGCCTTGCAATCAGCAGTTTAGCCTCCAGCAACACGATGCCAGCCCCAATAACTCGCATGTATTTTTTAAAAGTTACTGCATTCTATTGAGGAATAACACTCTAGCTTATAATTTCATGGCATTGAGAGCCTCAGTGCTATGTTGAAATTCAAGATTCCTTACTGAGTTTTCATTAATTCCTTTTGAATTCCAAACATCAGACCCAGATGAGATTGCAGATGTTGGGGGCAGGGGAGGGGTGTTATACGGAGCTCCATATTAATTCCTTCCATGGTTGTTATTCTGGGAACTGTTACTTGGGGAGTGTTTCCCAAACGAAGTGGAGAATGGAGCTAAAAATTCATTTTGGTGCAAAAAAAAAATGGAAATCCTTGCCTCGTTTTACCTAATATATATCTCAGTGAGCTTCGGAGAACCCCTCACGGGACACTGTTTCAGGGGATCATCTCCCATGTCTTTGTGGCCACTTGGAATCACTGGAACCAGAAGGGTGCTGTGGGTCAAGCACCGCTTTCCTAATCTGCTGCCATGACCCCTGCAGTGCTGGCATTCCACATGGCACTGGTTCGAGTCCCAGCTTCGGTACCCATGTGGGAGATGGAAAAGCTTCTGGCCTCAAACCTGCCTAGTTCCAGCTACTGCAGCCCTGTGGAGAGTGAACCAACAGAGCAAAGATCCAGCTCTCCCTCCCCTTCTCTCTCTCGCTCTCTCTGTAACTCTGCCTTCCAATAAATAAATCTTAAGAAAGCAACACATTGATCAAAAGTATATACAGCAAGCTCAAGGATGACAAAGCCACCACATAGCGGCTAGCAGCGACACAGGGCCTGAGCCAGCCCCCCAGCCACACCTGCCCCAATTTCCAATATCACAGTTCAGTTTTCTTCACATGAACAGTCACACAAAGAATTATTTCATATCTGGCTTCATGCTTGTTGCACACACATTCATTCTCATCATTACAGAATACCACTCTGTGACTATGGCACAACTTTTATTCTTAAACTTCTTTTTGTTGGTTAATATTTTTTTTCTCCAAACCAGTGTTCTACAACTAACACTGTTCTGAACCTTCTTATGTGTGTCTACCACTAGACAGAAACACTTAAGATTGAGGACAGCTGAAGTAACAGGCTTGACATGGAGGACTCTGTGTTGAGCTGGGCTCCATCACAGGGGAGGTATCCCTCCACCTGTGAGACTGCGGCCTGGGAAAGACAACTGCAACCTGCTTGGCAAGAATGCTCGAACCCCTGGCTAGGCTGTTCCAGCAGGACTAAGGGAAAAAAAAATAAATGAGTTTTACCTAGTGCAGCAACAAAGGCTTGCAGAGTTAGTGACTGGTAATTTTTCATCCCTGAGGTAGCTTTGCATTAGCTCAATGCCTTAGCCCACTTTCCTTGACCCCTCCCACGTGGTGGTTTTTGCCTTCATTAGCCCCACTGTTCTGTGGCTCACGGTTGGAAGTCTCTGGGGCAGGTATCCTCTTTCCACTGCTAACAAAAAGGATTTTCAATTTTTTTTAAAAAGATTTATTTATTTATATATTTTCATTGGAAGACCAGATATACAGAGAGGAGGAGAGACAGACAGGAAGATCTTCTGTCCAATGATTCACTCCCCAAATGGCCGCAATGTCCAGAGCTTTGCCAATCTGAAGCCAGGAGTCAGAAGCCTCTTCTGGGTCTCCCAGGTGGGTTCAGGGTCCCAAGACCTTGGGCTGTCCTCAACTGCTTTCCCAGGTCACAAGCACAGAGCGGGATGGGATGCAGGACCACCAGGATACAAACAAGCACCCATATGCGATCCTGGTGTGTGCAAAGCGAGGACCTTAGCCGCTAGGCTACCATGCTGGGCCAGGATTTTCAAATCTTACCAGGGCACGGAGCTCCTTCGGACTGGCTCACTTGGGTATAACACTATGTCCTGTCATTTTTAAAAAAGATTTATATTGGAAAGACAGTTCAGATTTTTTTCCTTTATTATTATTATTATTATTATTATTATTATTATTATTTATTGGAAAGGCGGATATACAGAGAGGAGAGACAGAGAGGAAGATCTTCCGTCCGATGATTCACTACCCAAGTGAGCGCAACGGTCGATGCCGTGCCGGTCCAAAGCCAGGAGCCTCTTCCGGGTCTCCCACACGGGTGCAGGGTCCCAAGGCTTTGGGCCATCCTCGACTGCCTTCCCGGGCCACAGGCAGGGAGCTGGAAGGGAAGCGGGGCTGCCGGGATAGAACCAACGCCCATATGGGATCCCAGGCGTGCAAGGCGAGGACCTCAACCACTTGCG